TGAATGTGTACGTGAGTGCATGAGTCAGATATGTGCATGTTAGTGTGTGTTTGTGAGTGTATGTGACTGTGCATGTGTATGTGGGTGTGTGTCCATTTGTGAGGGTGTGCATGTATGTTTGTAATGTTATTTATGAATGTGTATGCATGTGGAATGCATATGAGTACATATGTGTGTGTATAAGTGTACGTGACTATGTGTAGGGAGGTGACTAGGGAGACTGTATGTGCTGGGAGCTGTCAAGAGTGAGGGTTTCTAGTTCTCCTCACCAGTCTCTAGATTCTGTTTTGTTTTATCCGTTCTTAAGATTCATGTAAGTAGCTCTGGTGGCTCAGTGATTAAGCATTCAGCTGTTAACATAAAGGTTGGTGGTTGGAACCACCAGCCATTCCATAGGAGAAAGATGTGTCAATCTGCTTCTGTAACAATTAAAAAAAAAAACAAAAAAACACCACAGCCATCAAATCCATTCCAACTCAGAGCAACCCTTCAGGACAGAGTAAAACTGCCTAATAGGGTTTCCAAGGCTGTAAATGTTTACAGAAGAAGACTGCTTCATCTTTCTTCTCATCTGGAGTAGCTGGTGGGTTCGAACCACTGAAGTTTTGGTCAGCAGCTGAATGTTTTAACCACTATGCCACCAGAGCTCCTTTGAATGTATAGAGGTAATAAAAACATAAGTATTTTAAAAACACTTTATTATCATTGTCATTGTTGTTAGGTGCCGTTGAGTAGGTTCTGACTCATAGTGACCCTATGTACAATAGAACGATACGTTGCTCAGTCCTGTGCCATCCTCACAATCATTGCTATGCTTGAGTCCATCATTGCAGCCACTTGGTCAATCCATCTTGTTGAGGATCTTCTCCTTTTTTGCTGACTCTTTACCAAGCATGGTCCCTTCTGAGAACATGACCAGTCCCTTCTGACAGCATAACCAAAGTAGGTGAGATCAAGTCTGGCCATTCTCATTTCCAAGGAGCATTCTGGCTGCACTTCTTCCAAGACAGATTTTTTCATTCTTCTGGCAGTCCGTGGCACTTTCAGTATTCTTCTCCAACACCACAACTCAAAAGCATCCAGTCTTCTTGGGTCTTCCTTATTCATTGTTCAGCTTTCGCATGCATGTGGGGCTATTGAAAACACCATAGCCTGGGTTAGGTTCACCTTAGTCTTCAAAGTGACATCTTTGCTCTTTGACACTTCAAAGAGGTCTTTTGCAGCAGATTTGCACTCAATACTTCCTACAAAAATATGAGGAATGGAACAAGTACTAGAAGGATCTATGTGCAATGTACTAAGGGAAAATGTTTTTCATCTATAACAAATCCAGGGAAAATGTACAGAGAAACTCTAATTATTGCTGGTTGCAGCATTTCAACCATGGCATCATCTGGAAGTTTTATCACCCAAGAAGTTTATAAACATTTAATTACCCAGAGCTCCATTGTTTTATACCTTCCTAGAGGCAGAAACTACCGGCAATGACAATCAGAATCTACTAAAGCAGAAAGCACATGGATGCATGGGGTTTCAAAGCAGTTCAAGCACTTTTCTTCTTTGTATCACCATCTATTCTCTTAAAGCTTGGATTTGGGACTGGCTGAGAGAAGTCAGTAGGGAGTCTCAGGATTTGTAAACAAAGTAAGGAGAAGGCAAGTCAGTAGGAAACCAAAGAGCATACTTCTGAAGTTGTTTTTTGTTTGTTTTTAAACTAATTCACTAGTATTGACTTACCCAACAGTTTCTCAAAACAGGACTTGCAAATACCAAAGGTTGCAACAACTGGCCAGGGGCCATATTTCCCTGCTCACCTCCTCCTCCTGCTGTTTCTCTTTCTCTGAGTAGTTTTCTTACTTTGAGCCTCTGCCACTCACAGGCCCAGCCCAAACCTATCTCTTTTGTGGCCTATAATTTTGGGAGGTTATTTTAGCAAATGGTTGATGTGGATTTAGGGCAGCTGGTTAGCAGCTTAGAATCTCTGCCATGTACTGAAGGCCACAGCCATTCAATAAAGCACACAAGATGGTTTTGAGTGCTGTCTTGGATTTCTAAGATCTATCTTCTCACATAATTTTGGTCTTGAGAGATTTCAAAAAGGAATGAGAGCAGAGGAAACTGAAGTTTGAAATAATGCATTTTAGCTAGACATGCTCTGCAACTATTAGTGATTTTTGTTCAGCATTGTCAAATAAAAGTTAAATAAATCCAGACTTAGATAGGGAGAGCTTTATTCAGAAAGAAAAGAGGGATAGGGGAGGTGTCTATTGCAACAGGGAGAATAGTCTGATCATAAGATCTGAAAGTGTCTCCAAGAGTTAGGGGGAAAGCATTTCTTGTTATAGAGACTGAGAATAAACAAGGCTAGAAAGAACCCAAGTCTGGGAAAACAGGATGAAAAGGTGACATCTTTGGATAGTAAATCAGATTTTCTCTGAGATTCACCTAGTCTCTGGGAGGAGCTCTTAAAGAGGGTTGTATATTGGCTCAGGCTGAGGGTAGGCCAAAATTCAGGGACTTGGGGGAAGGAGAACTTAACAAAGTTTGGTTAATAGCATTTTGTTTCTAAATGATTAGTGGGAACAAGCAATTCAGTTACTCATTTATGAAGGCAAGGAATGGAATTTGGAGAGTCTGAGTCTGGTCTTGTCATTGGTAAATAAAAGGGCATCGATAAGTCTCATATAAACAGTTTTCCTAACTACAGAGGGTGGGGAGATTTCTTTAACCATCACTATTTTCCAATATTACAAGGTTCAGGTAAAAGTCAACATTGTCACATATACATGCATAGCTCTTTGAATTTTCCTTTGAACTGCTTGTAACATCTTACTGGTTCCTTCTTTAATGAGTCAAATAAAATCTTTGATGTATTTCATTTTATATTAGTATGGTTGTTGCTGTTGCTGGGTCCAGTCAAGGTCTTTCAGACTCATAGTCACCCCATGTGACAGAATAGAACTGCTCTATAGGGTTTAGGCGGCAATATTTATGGAAGCAGATGGCTAGGTCATTCTCCCATGGAGCCACTGGGTGGGTTCGGACTACTAAGCTGTTGGCAGCTGAGTGCTCAACTATTGTGCCACCAGGGCTCCTTATATTTGTATTAGAGTCATGATTACCTTTAAAAAAAATTACCTTTTAACATTAGGTACTGTGATGGATTGAATTGTGTCCCCCACAAAAATATAGGTGATCCGGTTTGGAAACAAGGATTTTCTTTTGTTATGTTAATGAGGTTTTTATGAGACTTGGGTGGGTCCTAAACCTAATCTCTTTGGAGTGGTGATTTATAAAGGGGAGGAGCACAGAGAGACAGGCACACAGAACAGTACACTATGTGGCCACAGAAGCAGATACATATACATAAGCTGCAAAGAAATGCCAAGGATTGCCAGCATCCTCCAGGATCTAGGAGAGAGGCTCCAGAAGGAATAGACATGGCTAAGGCCCTGAGCCTCCAGAACTTCTGTTCTTTAAAGCCACCCATTGGTAATATCTTTTTGTTATGGCAGCACTAGGTAAATAAAACAGGTAACTTTATATGCTAAGTACTCTTCCAGATACTTTATTTATGTATTTATTTAACAAATAGCAGAGCTCTTATTATATGCTGGGTGCTGTTTTAAGTGCTTTATAAATATTAACTAACTCAATTCTTTAAAAGCCCTAATTTAAATGTCTCTTCAGCCCTGTGAATAAGTGTTATTAGCACCATTTTATAAAGCTGAAGCAGAGAGGTTCAGAATCTTGCTGAAGGTTGAGTCATTATTAAGTGTCAAGCTGGGAGTCCAGTCCCTGGCAGCAGGAAGCCGAAGACAGTGGCCTTCCCAGCAGCACTGGGGCTTCCCTCTGAGCCTGGGGTGGGAGGAGGAAGGGAGGACAGGAGGCAAAGAAAAAAGAAACCCCAACTGTGTGTTTTGGGAAGCTGAATCTTTAAAGAGCTGCTTGTGTTGACAGAGGGAAGAGAGCTGCGATGAATGAATTATCCAGAAAAAGGTGGGAGGGGCAGGGGCTGTGGGAGGACGGGACTCTACCTGAGTGAGTGGTGGGGCACAGTTCAGACAGTGGAGAGGTGACCACAGGCGCGTGTATCTTACCAAACCAGTGCAGTTAATAGACTCTGACTCATGGCAACCCCATGTGTGTTAGAGTAGAACTGTGCTCCATAGGGTGTTCAATGATTGATTATTTGGAAGTAGATCACCAGGCCTTTCTTCTGAGGCATGTCTGGGTGGCCTCGCACCTCCAACCTTTTGGTTAGCAGCCAGGTGTTTTAATCATCTGCATCATCCTACTAAAGATCTAGTTTAAAATATTGATTCTTTATGGCCTGTCTTTTTTCTTAGAACATGTCTCATGGTTCCTTTTATACATGAATATATATATATGTACATATATATATTTATGTATCGTTACCATGATCATGGGAGAGTCAAGGTGACAATGAGAGGGAGGTGGATATAGGGGATAAGACACAACATGGGAATCCGCTGGCCCTGAGCTCAAATTCTCTGCCATTGACTGGATGAATTCAATTAGAATCAGCATAAATTAATATCTAAATCTCAATCAGATTAAGTAAATTTGTGCTTCCATCTCCCACAGCTGAGGACAGTAAGGTTTTAGCAAAGGGAGACAATGGATCTAGAGAGGGTTGGGGAAGAAGTTGCAACTTTGCTTGAAGATTCTTAACTGTGGGTGCTGGGCTGGTGATGACGGAGACTTTACAAAGTAAACTCTGGAAGATACTCCTGAGCAGGATAAAGACCTGTGATTGGCCACCCCAGACCTATCTGCCTTCCCAATTCCTGTCCTTGAACAAAGAGCACTTGGCTGCTTGAATCATGTTTTTTTTTTTTTTTTTTTTCCTTCTTCTTCCCCACCTTTATTTACCTAATAAGGAATGTCAGCATTGCAAAGTCCAAAGCGTGCCTCTCTTGTCTTCCTTCTCCTTGCTTTCTACTCATAATTGAGCTAATTGGAACTTCCTGTGGAAGATGGCTGGGAATTCAATCCTGCTTGCTGCTGTGTCCGTTCTCTCTGCCTGTCAGCAAAGTAAGAGTCACAAAAGTGTATGTATGTATGTGTGTGTGTGTGTGAGAGAGAGAGAGAGAGAGAGAGAGAGAGAGAGGCTGGCCCTGAGGGAGGGGGCAGGAACACTACACAGTTCACTAGTTTTGGATTGCATTCTTGCCAGTGGCTCTGCGTGTTGGCTGAACACAGTTGGCTTGGAATCATCAGCTTCTGCCTTGGGGGCAGGTGGAGACGTGGAATACTCCAGAGATTAGTTCTATCAACCCGGAAGGGCTTTGTGAGTTCTCAGAGCCCAGCAATTCATAATTTGTGGTTACAACCCACAGCCCCAGCTCAAATGAGTATTAGAAGTGTGTAAACCTGGGGAAAATGGGGTAAAACCATTCGCTCAAAATGATTGTTCCAAAGGTAGCATCGTGCCTGCTTCTAAACCATGGTTGTGATCTCTTCCAGATATCATAATTAATGTGTTTTCTTAAATAGATTGCATATGGTAGGTATGCTTATCAGATTAAAAAAAAAAAAGTCTCCCACAGAAATGTAAGCTTTGGATTAAATAATTAAGCCTAAATTTTAAAACATCTTTCCAATAGGAATATTTACTATCCTGATTGCCTGGTTAAATAGAGGGCTTTTTTTACACAGGAGTTACATTTGCTCAATTCCTATTATCTTAGCTATGATACCAACTTAGTACTCATGCTAAGTGGGAGAAAGGGTCTGAGCCCTTGTAAGCAAGACTTCTTATCAAGAGTGGCTATTTTCTTATTTTTACAAGTGTGTATATAACAGGAAGTAAGGCAGAGTTGTATGGCTCAAGTTACATAAACAGCTCAAAGCAGGAAGGCACCACATTAAGGATAAAGTTCAGACCTCCGTGCACGTTAAATGTGTTGCCTAGCCAGTCTGTTTTGTGTATTTATGAGAATATTATACCTTCTGACACACATTTGGTGCTTTGGTTCACAGTTGTTTCTGGAGTGAAGCAGGATGATTATTACCAACTAAGATTATTACCACTTAGGTCTGAAGGACCATCCCAGCCCCCAGACCCACATAGACTCACATGGGCTGGTGATGAGGGAGACTTAGAAGTAAATTCTTGAAGTCACTCCTGGGCAGAATAAAGACTGGTAATCAGCAACCCCAGACTTACCTGCCTTCTTGATTCCAAAGACCACCAAACTTGTGTGTGCTCTCATCCTGGCACTGCAGAGAGGAAGAGGGAGGGGGCCCTGGGCACTGGCAAAGCCTTCACAAAGAAGTTTCTTTCTGTTTGCTAGTTGGTGCACAGGACAGTGTAAGCTGGGAGCCAGAGGTCGGGGGGCTGGATGAAGTGGGTAGGTGGGCTTGAAGAGAGTAGAAGAAATTGGAGAATGGTGGTTGGTGGTGTCTTAGGGCTTTGTAGAGAAACAGAACCAATAAGATATAAGTATATAAAAACCAACATCCAGTCCATTCAAACTCATGGTGACCTCTTATGTATCAGAGTAGAACCGTGCTCCATGAAGTTTTCATTGGCTGATTTTTCAGTAAATCACCAGGGCTTTCTTCTGAGGTGCCTTTGTGAGGACTAGAATCTCCAACTTTTCAGTTAGCAGTCTTGTGCATTAACTGTTTGCACCTAGGTACTCTGTGTGTGTGTGCACATATATATAACCAAAAAAAAACCACCAAACTCACTGCCATCGAGTCGATTCTGACTCATAGCGACCCCTTTTGGATTTCTGAGGTAGTAAATCTTTACGGAAGTAGACACCAAGTCTTGCTTCCGCGGAGTGGTTGGTGGGTTTGAATCATCAACCTGCTGTGTAAAATATACACTATTTTAAAGAATTGGCTCATGTGATTGTGAGGGGCTGGCAAGTCCAAAATCTGTTTGTCAAGAGACAGGCTAGAGATTGCTGAAGTCTTGAGTCCCCAAATCCATAGGTCCACTGATAAAAAGAGAAGAGTGAAGGAGTTCTGGCAAAGTGTCTCTTTATAGTTTGGAAGCAGAATATATCCTAGAGAAAAACGTTTCTTTTGCTTTTAAGGTCTCCAACTGATTGGATGAGGCCCACCCATGTTATGGAGGGTAATCTGCTTTACTTAAGGCCAATGGATTAATTCACATGTCATATATAACTACTTCATAATGGACTACTGTTTGACCAAACAACTGGACACCATAGCCTAGCAAAGTTGACATACAAAATTAACTATCAAAATCATTGGCAAGGAATGTTTAGTGATGAGATAGAAAAGTGAGAGTGCTTGGTTATCTAGTGCCGCTATAATAAATACCACAAGTGGATTTAACAACAGCAATGCATTCTCTCAGAATTTAGAAGGCAAGAAGTCTAGGGTGCCAGCTGTTGGCTGTGCAGAAAGGTCCTTATTTTTTGGCTCTTAGGAGATCTGCATATGGTATGACATCTACTCTCAATTCTGCTTCTCTCAATGGCTAGTTAAATCTCTTATATCTTGAAAGAGATTGATTTAAAACACACCCTACACTAATCTGTCTCATTAGCATAACAAACACAATCTATTCCCAACTGAGATTGCAACCACAGGCATACAAAAACCAAACCAAACTCACTGCCTTCAAGTTGGATCCTACTCACAGCAACCCCTCCTTGGGTTTCTGAGGTGGTATCACTACGGAAATAGATTGCCCCATCTTCCTTCCAAGGAGTGGCTGGTGGGTTTGAATTGCTAGCCTTCTGGTTAGCAGTCAAATACCTTAGGCACTATGCCACCAGAGGTCCCAACCACAGGCATAGAGGTTAGGATTTATAGAACATATTTTTGGCAGACACAGTCTAATCTATAACAGAGAGAATAAGAGAGAGAGGGAGAATGAGTCAAAAGACACAATTGCTTTTCTGCCATTAGGGAATGTGTTGCTTTTGCAAAAGTCCCCTCTCTGATGGTTATGGAAATGGGACAGTGTGTCATGGTAGAAGCAGCTCATATTTTGAAGCTAGACGAACTTGTATCTGTCTGGTCTATCAACTTATCATCTGGGTCTCCCTGGACAGGACACTCTACCCTTCAATGTTTTCATTGAAGAGGGTTAAACAGGACACATAGTATGAAATGCTCAACAGAGGGTAGATGCTCAGCATGGTTAGTTCCCATCCTCTAGTCTCTTCCCTCGGAGGAGAACTTTCTGGTGGATTGAGAGGCAGATATATGGTAAAGACTACTGTGGCTGAGTGGGCACTGTGGCGGCTCTCAATTAACTCTACCAAGCAGCATGTGTCCCTTTGGAGAAAGCTAGCAATAGAAGGAAGACAAGTAGAGCAAAAGGAGATTGTCTTAGTTATCCAGTGTTGCTGTAAGAGAAATACCACAAATGGATGCAGTGTCAGATTACCCAATAAGCAAGGAAAAAATGGGCTTACTTGTGCTTACTGGGAGCTCTGGTGACACAGTGCCTAAGGCATTTGACTGCTAACTAGAAGGCTAACGGGTCAAACCCACCAGCCACTCCTCGGAAGGAAGGTTAGGCAATCTACTTCATAGTGATACCACATTGGAAACCCAAGGAGGGGTCGCCACGAGTTGGGACCAACTCGACGGCAGTAAGTTGTGCTTACTAATCTGTAGTGAACATTTTCACATTTTTTCACCACATCAAAGATTCTGCTTCTATGTGTGGCTGGCATCTGTCTCTACCCCAACCACATAGCACCTTACTACTGAATCAAAGCTTTAAAATTCTTGACAGGAATGGAGTACTCAGTAAGCAAGATACTTACTAATCTGTAGCGAACAGTTTCATATGTTTTTACACATGTGAAAAACATGTGAAACTGTCCTCTACAGATTAGTAAGTGTGCTAGAGGAAAAAAGACTCTAGATTCAAACATATTCAATAGACAGAATTTTATTAAGGCTTAAATAAGACAAAGGCAAAACTAAGCCAATCGTCTGGATGAGGGAAACTGTCTGAATGAGGCTGATGGTGTCTGCCTCTCAGCCATGGTTTTCATTATATATGATTGAAAACAAAGGAAATTATCACAAGATTATGAATGGTGGTAGATCAATCCATCATTGTCATAGGTAGCACTACAGATGTAGAGGGGTGGGGGTAAGATGGGGAGGAGGTGGGGTGTGTGTAGGAATGGGGCTCAGGGCATAAGGACCATAATTGGGATATGAACATACTTGCAAGTTAAAAAAGAGTTATGGGATTGGTTCTGGAGTTTTTATTACCTGGCTATGTGGTGGTCAGGGGAAAGCTCATGATCATATGACTCTGAGTCATAGCCAAAAGTAGTTATAATACTAGGACCCTAACCTTTAACTTAAAGGAGCTCTGGTGGTGTAGTGGTTAAGGAATTTGGCTGCTAATCAAAAGGTCGGTGGTTCGAATCCACCAGCTGCTCCACTGAAGAAAGATGAGGCAGTCTGCTTTTGTAACGATTTACAGCCTTGGAAACCAAGTGGTGATCACTATGAGTCAGAATTGACTCATTGGCAGTGATTTTGGTTTGATGAACCTTTAACTTAAATTGGTTATTTTCAGTAAATGCCTGGGCAAGTTCTCTAGTTCTTTGTGTGAGTATCTTTCTGCATAACCTACTTTCAACCACACTCTTCCTGAAGGCAAACTGCCACTCCCTAGGGTTGTCCTGAATTTGTATAAGCATAGTCACTTTACTGGTTTAATGGTCAGCAAGCATTGGGGAAGTAACAAAGAACTCACATTTTCTGAACTTATGTCAAGACTCAGAATGGAGTTAGGGCTCCCACTGTAGACCACAGCCTTCCACAAACCAAGTGCTTTGTAATTTAAGCTCTAATGCACAAGTAAGCCTGTGTTTCCCTTGCTTATTGGGTAATCCACCCCTTAGTGGGTGTCTTTAATGAACAGAAATTTATTTTCTTACAATTCAGGAAGCTAGAAGTTCAAATTCAAAGCACCTCCTCCAGGAGAAGGCTCACTTTCTTTCTCTCTGGGCCATTCTGGGGTCAATGTCCTTGTCTCTTGTCAGCATCTCTTCTATTCTATTTCATATTACTTA